GATAGATAGATAGATCGATAGATCGATAGATCGATAGATCGATAGATAGAAAGATAGATAGAACGATAAATAGAAAGATAGATAGATAGATAGACAACTAAAACTACAACTACACTACGCTACATTACAACTACAACTACCACTACACTACACACTACAGCTACAACTTCAAGGTCAACTCTAACCTCCACTTCAACTACACTTCAGCTACAACTACCACGACCACCGCAGCTACAACTACAACTTCAATTTCAACTTCAACTACACTACAACTACAACTACAACTACAACTACAACAACTACAACTACCACCACACTACACTACAACAACCATTACAATCACGGAAACAACCACAACTACAACTACAACTACAACTACAACAACTACTACAACTACACTACAACTTCATTACAACTACTAGTACAACTACAACTACAACCACGACTACAACTACCACTAAACTATACTACTCTACACTACAACCACAACTACAAGTGCAACTGCAACTACACCTACATTGAGCAACACTACAACTACAACTACAGCTACAACCACTACAGCTACAACTACTACAGCTACAACCACTACAGCTACAACCACTACAGCTACAACTATCACTACACTAAAACTACAACTACCACTACAACTACAACTAAAACTGTAACTACAAGTGCAACTACAAACTACACCACACCACACCACACCACACTACATTCAGCAGTTGTGGGTGAGGTGACCACTGTAACTACTCCAAAAAACACAAATCCAACCACGTTTCGGTCCATCAGTGGATTCGCTCTGCCATACATGCATCACAGCAACTCACCTCTCCTATAGTTTCCTATCTTTGAAACCTCCGCCACAGCCTTGTGCGGTACTGCTGGTATACTGACTGGATTATACGGATTTCCACAATGTCAATGTCAATTCACAATCCCTGCGCAAATAGGTGGTATATGGTGGTATAATGTAGTAGAAATCGTATGATAACCTACCAATTGGTACTTGTTCATATGTATTCCCCAATTTGAAAGAAACTCATGATTGATGCGTAATATATGATTATCTCCATTGATATCCGAATGATTGCTGGTTGACACCCCTATATTTGCACTGGTTAATTTTCCATTTCTGGTTGTTCACTGTTGTGTTGAGGTTATCACCATTCGCTCACGTTCAAAAGGCAAAGACCTTGATCTTTGTCGGCTATAAAACTGGTGTTGATGTCCTCACGTCATGAGTCCAGTTTTCCCACTCATCTAGAGCAGTTGCATGCAATTTGATTCATATTCACATGGATTGAAAAGTTCTTTCCAGGCACACAATCATTGCAAAGGGCCTATTTAACTCAGGCCAGCTAAAAAGAAACACAGTTCAGATGCATGCCCATGATATCCCATGATCATTCAAGTTTAACTTTGACTACGTTTTTCAAAACATGGGGGACTCAATCTGTAGTTGACCAACTTCCGAACTCAAAAAAAAACAATTTTCTCCTATGATTTGATGCTGATTTCCTACGTTATAACCGGTAAGTTATAGCCCCAAAAAACACTTATGACTGGCTGATAATCCCATGTACAAGCTATGGAAAACCCTACTTAGAGGTGTTATAATTCCATTATGATTCCATTTATAACTGGTGTGTCGGGCCAGAAGTGCAGTATCAACCCAGTTGATTTTGCCATCAGGGGCATTCGCCTTCATCTCCAAGGCTTCTTCCCGTTCACGGAGGGCTGCCATCTTTGCTGCCTGAAATTCGAGATTTTGCACTTCGCTACCATATATGAAAAAAAAAACAATAAAAAAAACATCCCAAGATGCGAAGATGTTTGAAGCCCCCGGGATATTGGTGGATATAGTTGCCTCCCAGTGTCAAGAGACACCTAAATTGGGGTTCCCACAATCAAGCCCTTAAAATCCCTTACATACGCAGTATAGGCAAGTTGGGTTTTGAACTCTCAGTTGCAGAGATACAAGCAGTTCGTCAAACAAGAGTAGACCTTTCGTCAGGTAATGTCAGGTAGATTCAAGTAGAATATTCCATGAATTCAATGCAAAGACAATCTAGACTTGGTTTTTACAATATGTTGGGTTTGCCGCGCAGGTTTGCCCAGAATTTACAATTATTGTTTTTCAGAGATCTACCAGAGCTGATGTTTGTGTCTTTGTATCTGCACCCGTTTGTAGGAGCCATTCTTACTGGTATTTGCATTGCTTTTAACGCTTGCCTATGTTTAATAGGTTCATTGTTGATTTTCACTAGTTCATGCCCATGCAAAAGTTTTGTCAAGAGATTTTTTTGCCAGATTTGGCGGAAAAAACTGTTATTGGTGCATTTGAGAACAAAGCGCAATTTTGAAGCCGGTTTTGTTGTCAGTGCAACAACAAGTAAAGTTTTGGAACGTGCCAATGTTGAGTTTCGATGCTGTGTTCGAATGCTTGGTTCTTCTCATTGCTTGCCGTATGAGTGGCGTTGGCCGCAGATTCTGATCATCAAAGGAACAGGTTGGGAGAGAACCTCCCCGTTACGGACATTCACCAAAACAACAACAGCAACAACAACAACAGCAACAACAACAACAACGACGACGACGACGACGACAACAAACACAGACACAAACGCAAACGCAAACGCAAACCATCATCTCACAAATCACGACCACAACAAAGAGCGATCTCAATCTCACAAGTCACAATCTCATTGTTCATTTTCGCAAGGAAGAACTATCTCACAATCTCGCAACTCACAATTCAATCTCCCAATCTCACAATTCAAATCCACAACAAAGAACTATCCACAACCCACTTCAACAAGCAAACAATCATCTCGCAACTCACAATGCACTTGGAAGAGCTGCCATGAGTGAGAGAACTGTCATGAGAAGGAGATGTAAGGAAAACAGATGAGAAAACAAAGAGATGCCAAGAAACAGGAATGCGAAGAGAAACAACGTCAAGAGCAAGATATGGAAGAGATGTCATGTCACAATACGTCACAGAGAGCAATTGTTTTTGATGCACAGGTCACAAATCCTACTGGGACATTCTTTCTTTTGCCAGGTCCTTCCCTCCAACTTTGGCCTCTGGCTTTCCCGCTCAGGTACTACTTGCATTATGAACCATACACGAAAATCATTTGTGTAACATATGTAATAATGTACATGTAATACTATAGTTACTATAGTATGATATCATCCTTACCAAACAACTGACCACTAAATTATGGCTTCAATACACATCCATTTCTTCTCGCCCCACAATCGCTGGCACACATGGCCGCCTCGGCAGCTGCCATTGATCTAGCAGCCTCTTCGATCTTGACCTAAGGGCCAAAACATCTGGATATGTGCCAAGATGGGCATACAACATTGTAGGAATATTGTATGCAATTACGAGTTAAAAAACAGGCATTTTCATGCGATCAATCTGCTATCAATGCTATCTGTTTTGTTACCTGGCTGTGTAATGACTATGGAACAAAGACCATTCTGAGGCACTCAAGTGCTTGACCCTGACCCCTCTATCATGGGAACACGTGCAACGAAGGTTAACCCAGGTATGGTGTGGGTAAGTTGGGCAGGTGCGATTGTTGGCTAGTAGAGAATGCGTGAATATTCTGGCCAGCAGGAAAAGTCTGGATTTTCAACATGACAGTACGAATAGTTTCTTTACTGCCGTGTTGGGTCGCTTCTATTGACGAGTCTTCGATCGTTTCAGGCAGCTACAACAAGTCCAACAGTGGGGATGGAACAACTGTGGTTTCACCACCTAGAGTTGGGTGGAAAGGCTAAAAGTGATGTGTAGGAAGCCGATGGAAGTGGATATTAAGCTCGTCTACACACACATGCTCTATACTGTACAGTATTCCATTGCCTGTGTACTATGTACCAAGAACATCCAAAAGTGGATTCCGATATCGAAAACATGGTGATTTCAATTGAGAAATAATTCCTTCTTCCAGCTACTAAACCTGTACGAATTACCCCAAATTCTTGGTTCTGAGAAGTAGAGATCTTCTGTATACGTATAAATATATGTATATATATATATGTATGTACAGTATAGCTTTCCAAAGTCATGGTAGCCAAATTTCTGGATGGTGACCGAATTTTCATGGAAAAAAAACACCCAAACAGCTGGATGATTCATGCTGCGGAAAGCTGCGTCCCCCGGCATCGCTGGCACGGCGCTGAGCGCGCATGGCAGCTGCCTGGCCCGAGGCACGAAAGGATGGAAAGGATGCTGTCACGAAATCAAAGTGATATGGAATGATCACCCCATAATTTTCAAAAATGGTGCAGTACAAAAAATGTTTTAACTGATAAATGATGATAAATGTGTTTCTATTTCAGGGATCCATTTGGGTTTGCTGAGACAAGCAACATGGCAAATGGTGAATCCCCCTTCTCCAAAGGTGGGCGTAGGTCTGGGGTAAACTGCTCCAGAAAGATGTGGAAAAGCCATGGTGCAACCCCTTCGGAACATGATCGACAAATGGTGGACTTTCATGGATTTTCCACATGTGTGTTGGTTTACAGGATGGTAATGGATGGTATCTGTCTGGATTTTGTGATTGCCCATGATTCCACATGATTCCACACCCTGACAATGTGTGTTCCGAGAATGCTGGCCGCTGGAGTAAACTATTCTCTGCAATTCTCTGTCTCCGCGTTTGCCCAACCATAAGTTTTTCCCCACCTGCCAGGTGAGGGTTGTTAGATTTTATGTCAGTTGCCTCCTCCTGCCTCCTCCTGACTCCTGCCTCGTCCTCCTCCTCCTCCTCTCCTCCTCGTCCTCCTTGTCATCCTTGTCGTCCTCGTCGTCCTCGTCGTCCTCGTCGTCCTTGCTCAACTGCGACCCGCGATCCACAGTGTTCTCTGCCGGACCTCAACCACGACCACCCACGCCCAGTGTTCCCTGCCGGACCTCAACCACGACCAGCCCCGCCCAGTGTTCCCTGCCGGACCTCAACCACGACCACCCACGCCCAGTGTTCCCTGCCGGACCTCATCTGCGAGTATCCATGCCAAGTGTTCCCTGCCGGACCTCAACCGCGAGTATCCATGCCAAGTGTTCCCTGCCGGACCTCAACCGCGAGTATCCACGCCAAAAGATATGCCACATAGAGTGCCAGAAGATATGCCAGATAGAATGTTAGAAGATATGCCAGATAGAATGTTAGAAGATATGCCAGATAGAATGCCAGAAGGTATGCCAGATAGAATGCCAGATAGAATGTCAGCTAGAATGCCAGAAGATATGCCAGATAAAGTGCCAGAATGTTTGCCAGATAGAATGCCAGCAGATTTGCCAGATAATATGCCAGAAGATATGCTAGATAGAATGCCAGATGGAATGCCAGAAGATTTGCCAGATAATATGCCAGAAGATATGCCAGATAGAATGCCAGATGGAATGCCAGAAGATATGCCAGAACATATGCCAGAAGATATGCCAGAAGATATGCCAGAACATCTGCCAGAAGATATGCCAGAACATCTGCCAGAAGATATGCCAGGTAGCCAATGCCAGAAGATATGCCAGATAGAATGCCAGAAAATATGTCAGATAGAATGCCAGAAGATTTGCCAGTAACAAAATGTATAAATGTCATGGTGGGGATCACACGAAGTAAAGTATTTTTTTTCTAGTCTGGGATGTTATATATATATCATTCATGAATATATTAAGGCTGAAATATAGAAACTCAAACGTTCTATGGCTAAAAACTACGGAACCAAAAACGCCAAACTCAAAGGAGGAGCGAGGTCTATGATGCAGTCAAAACAAAATAACCTCTCATGATCTTTGTATTCATACATTGCGTATTGTATATGCTACAATTAAAAAAGTCTAATCATATTTATGATCAAACAAATAAAACATATGTATATATATATATGTTTATGTGTAAGTCACCTGAAATTTATATAAACATTAGCCATAGTAGACATATCCGCAATATTTGTGACTACTGTTGGCCGCCTCCTCCTCGGCCTTCCGCTTGGCTTCGCGCGATTCTGCCTCAAACAGCACGTGGTTCATGGCTGGGAGGTTCTTGTCCTTAAACATCCATGGTGAATGGTTAATAATGGTTACACAATAGTGGTTAATACTGGTTAATGATAGACCATAATGCTTCATACTTGTTAATAGTGGGTAAAAATGGTTACTTAATAATGGTTAATTTATAATGGTTAAATTGTTAATAATTGTTAATACTGGTTTTTACTTGTTAATAAAGGTTCGTTAACAATGGTTAGTTCATCATGGTTAATAATGGTTTACAGTGGTTAATACTGGTTAAAAATGGTGAATAACGGTTAATAATAGCAAATAGTGGTTGATAATGGAAAATGGTAGATGATTAATAATGGGGAATTATCTGTTGACCATGGAAAACTGGGCCTTCGATTTCTGACCAATTGATCCAATGTTGTCTCCATGTGTTTCCCGTGTATCCCTACGCTTGCCATCAACTTACCTCTCAGATAGGTCACTTGTGTGATTGATAATTGGAGTGAGCTTCCTTTGATTCCTATATTGCACACATCTTCCGGTAACCAAACATGAAACTGAAAATCCACTATTTAAAGGCGACTTTTCCGTCAAAGACTCCATTTTGTTCGGGCATGTTCCTTGGTTCAATTCGAGTGAAATCGCCATTTTTCTTGCTAAATCACTATAGACCATAGGGATCCATAGGGTATCTCGTTGTTTTGGACCTTAGAACGGCCCCA